TTTTTTTTTTAATGTTAAAAGATAAAACCATGCTCTTATCTTTATTAGATTTAACAAAAACTTTTTACATAATCGAAAAAGGTTTTGTATTTTAAATCTAAAGCTAAAAAAAAGATCTCTGATATATATTTAAGTAAACCTAAATACTTATTTGTGGTCTAAACCTACTAGAGTGGCCAAGACTCGCCTAGATTTGAGAGTAAGTAAGAATAAGAAAAAGGTGTGAAGAGAATTTAATCCAGTTAGAATATCAAATTTCTAATTTACAAAATGGGTTGGATATAAATAAATTAAAAGAGTTTTCAGAAAAAAAGGTTAAGCTTAAAAAAGATACAGTAGGGTTAACAGGAGTAATATTGCTATAATTGTTTGAAGCAAGATCAGATTGTGATCTTGAAGTACAGTAAGAGATTCAGATATTTGTGTAGATTTTTTGATTAAAATGAAGAAAAAATTAAATAGTAAGAGAATAGGAAAAGTTGTTAGAGATAGTATAATCTTGTATAGTATTTATAATATCAACTGAAACAAGACCAGTGATTGTAAAAAACAGTGATAGTTTGAAAATAAAAGCATAAATTTGTAGACTATCAAGGTTTTTAATTTGGCAAAAAAGATGTTGTATTTGAGTATGTGAGATTTGAAGCTTGCTAGAGATTAAGATATATTGTAGAGATGTATTAAGGAGTTTTAGTATTGGGTTAGAGAAAGAGCAGAATGCACAGTAAAGTGCATCAGTAGGTTGTTGACAAATATAACAGGAATTAGAGTAGAAAGGGTATCTTTTATAAAGAATATATGAAGATGGAAGGTCATCAAGTAGTAATTTAACTTTGAATATTTTAAGTATTAATGATTAAAAGCTATATATATAATTTGAGACTTTTTGATTGTTGTTAAGATATAGCCAGGTAGTATTTTAATAAATATCTTGTATGTTACGGCAGCACCCCAAAAGAACAGGGCGGGCTTTCTCTGTGATTGGCTATTGTTTGTAGATCATTTTGGTGATGGCGCAGCGCTTTCGTCCAATCAGAGATAGCATAGATCATTTAAAATACTACGTATTAGCGTTACAAATCAGACCAAAAAATTCAATCGATTAGTCAATTAATCGATTAATTGACTAATCGATATCGAAATGATTAGTCAACTAATCGATTAATTAATTAAATCGATTAATTGTAAAATAAAATTATCAATCGATTAGTTACCAACTAGATTAACTAATCGATTAATCGATTTTCGATTTGGAACACTACTACATATGATTAATAAAATTTATTATTGCTAAAATAACAGCACATTGATTTTTTTTTATTTTTAAAAAATTTATATTGTTAAATTATTTATAAAAAGAAAAATATATACTATAAACATTCTATTAAAAAAACAAATAATTGTTCTCTATTCTTACATTAAATACATCGTATCTCCAATTCTACACTAATGAATTATCATTACATATATCCCAACTCAATAAATTTATGCATTTGTTAAAGTATTCATTGCTCTGTCAAAAAGTACATCTATATTATCATCTAAAGAAACATTTTCACCACCCGTATTGGTATCGTCGACGGTTTCACTAATATTCGCTTCACTTATATTTACTTCCGTGGACATACGGTCAAATTTGTTCAGAGTCTTCTGATAACTCTTGCAATTTTTTTTAATACCGCTCACGAGATAATCGACGCAATACTTGCATTGACTTCCTAATCTAAATAAAAAACATTCAAAGTGATAAGCATGTCCACATATTAGAGTATAACCTACCTCACGATTATCGATACAATTCTCAAAATCACAGTATTTATCTTCCCAAGGTGGACATGCCGTATTCCAAGCCATTGCCAGTATTTTAATATCAACTTGAGCTTCAAGTGTTGGAAGCTCATATAATTCTGGTCGCGACTCTGTATCGTATGAGACAACTTTTGACCTGCCAAGATTTCTATGTACATCTGTAAAAAGATTTAAAAGAAAAACCACAGTACTCTTTTCAAGATATTCAAGCTGTTTTACTGAATATCTAATGTTATGACTCTCAGAAAAAACATCGGTGAAAGAACTCCCACCATGTATCTGGTCTATTGATCATGCCTGTTGAATAATTTGTTCTGGAGTATTGGATTTCTGTATTTGCCGTCGTAGTGAGCTGTGAAAGTTCTCTACATAATAATCATTAAAAGTATGAAGAAAACCTTCAAGAGCTTGTAAAATAGAATGATTAGTACTAGACCAAAAGAAAATATCACTAAAAAACGCCAATAGTAATTTTTTATAATTTTTACGCTTATACTGATAAAAAATAGCCCAAATATGAAACATTGCCTTTTTGTATGCTGTCCAATTTCCACTACGAAATATGATGGGATAGAAATCTAAAACCAATGGAATAATGTTGTCCAACAAATTTATGAGATATCTAACTTCTGGGTCTTTGGACCGCTCAAACTTTCGCAGAATCGTTGAACGTACTCGGAACCACCCCTGAAATGCTAATTCGAGTAACAAATTAATTTTATAAGGTTTTGGTTTTTGTGCCAAAACCTTATTATGTCCAAACACCTTATGAAAAAGCTTGTCAAAAAATATGTAATTTTCAAGAAATACAGTCTCACGACTATTCAAGGATACATGTAAAGGTCCAATCATTGGAACAATGTATAAAATTTGCTCCGGTATTTCAGAAGAGTCACCAAATTTGATACAATAGTTAATAGCACGCCATACATGAAGTTGCCTGGGATAATCCATAGGTGCTACTAGTACACGCGTTTCTAAATAAGTTTTTACCTCTGGAATACTCAATAGATGTTTAAGTGCGTCTACATAATCTAAGGTGGAATGGAGAGACCCTTGTTTTAAATCAACTAGCTTTGTGCTTTCCATACTTCGATCTGTCCGACGCTGTTCGATTCTATTATCGTAACTATGAATTAAGAGGCATTCAACTCGTTCATCATGGGTTGGTGCAGAAACCAAATTGGTGAGCGTCTGCCTTCGACCTGTATAACTATACCACAAATAAGGAAAAAATAATAAATGAGCATTTGGTATTATAATATTCGCATCTATACCCCTTTCGTTATGAAGACTTCTTTCTTGACAAGAAAGAATAGACGACGCTTCTGGCAAAGCTTTCAGGAGTATTGTAGCGAAATGAGCAGCATCGTGTGTAGTTGTTGTGTCACTATGATGAAGTTCATGAATATTATGAAAATCATCTACATTAAGAATAACCAAATTCTCCATCTATAAAAAAATTTACATATATTAATTATTGTTTTACAATTACTATAAATTCTTGAAATAACGGGCATGGACTTTATTTCGAATTTTGGCCAGAATTCGGCTGAAATTCGAAATAAAGTCCATGCCCGTTACTTCAAGAATTTACAGTATTATATTATAAAAATACATGTATACTTACATTTTCCAACAAAAACTCGCTTACCCTCGTCGTATGCGTTTTCGCGTGTTGAACCTTATGTCTTGCAATAGTTTCGCGTCTTACCATTACACCTGCACCGGCTAAAGTTTCTATGGCTGAAGAAGATGTACCTGCTGAATCTAATAAATACCCAACCTCTGCCTTAACCCCATTAATAAATTTATTATTAAGTCCTGATAAAAAATAGCAAAACAAAACTAGCCTTTTCTTATTTTTTTCATTAGTCATATGGCTCTTTGTTTGCGGATTAGTTCCAGCAAATAATTGGTTAAAAAAACCTTTCAATGACGGCTCAGATTCCTCAAGCATTTTGCTGAACTCTTCTGGATCGAGAATGGGCTTTTCGTTATACTCGCGCTGCCTCATATACAACACACCCGCCATTGGCCTAATTTTTCTACTGAGTGGAATTAATTCTAAAAAAAAAAAAAAAAAAAAAAAAAAAAAATTATATTTATAGTATATAATACAATTAATATTAATCCGACTAGCCATAAAAAATTTTTAAGCAACTAAAATAAATAAATTATTAAATTATTTACCCAACTTCAATTCACCAAGTTTAGCACATACTTCATGATACGCAGACTCCAATTCCTGAAATTCTGATTGAGAATAGATAATATCACTTCGTAATACATACGACCTACCTTGGAAACTTCTAATATTCTCTTTTGAAACCCTTTCAATTGGCAATGGATAGTCTGGCGAATTTACATATTCCAGATCAATATCGGTTTTATACAAACAATGACGACACATTTCTGCTTTTGGTGGCAAGTTAAAGAATTCCATAAGCCGCTTTGGAACCTGTTTGAACGTCTTTCCTTCTTTATCTTGCTGAGCTGTAAGAACATATATCTCATGCTTAGGATGAAGACAAACTTTAGTAATTTTTACACTTTTTGCATTTACTATCAACTTATTATAATGCTTTCGACATAGAGCTTTGTTAACCAAATTTAAGTGCTTGCTCGAATCAGGTATAGTTACTTTCTCAGAAACCACACGAACACCGTTCAATTCATAATCACATTCAACATCATCTTCACCTTCCAAGTCACAAGGTCGTAATTTTCTCTTACCTTTATTTTCAGTGCTGAGAGCTTGGGAATCGGTAGATGCCATCTTTCTTATACAATTTACCAAAAAACGTCTACTTGAGGTGGTCTTGTGGATTCTTATGAATTCTTGTGAATTACTAGCAGCGAAGAGTCAAAAAATACCCTATATAGCTAACTTCTGGATTATTTAACCTTTTACCGGATTATTTTGGTATGTTATAGAACAGAAGGTGTAGTTTCAGAATTTATATGCGGTATCCTTTGACAATTCGTTTTCGTCGCAGACAATTCGATTAAAGTCAGCTGTTATATGCGGTGTATATGTAACGATACATTTTAGTGATTGACCAATCAGATTTAATGCCCGCCCTGCTGATTTCACCATCATCCGCGACAATATTTACGATTTTATTGGCTAAATCTAATATGCATGATCGGGATCATCAATATCCTAATTTGGGACGTTCCTACCTCGAATGGCAACCACACTTTCGGGAAATGCAAATGAATCCAGTAGTAGTGGTCGTTTAAACAATAGACAAGTGCTATTCTTGTTTTCTCGATTAGCAACTTTAACTATTTATTTTCACTAATAAAAATTCGTACAGAGTATAGTCAAAAGATTATCCATAAAAAGTATAATTCAAAATCTCATGAAAAGTGAAGAGACGAAGGTATTTAAATATTACTTGAAAATATAGTGAATGAATTATAACCAGCAATTCATTATTTCTCTCAGGCCATTAATCAAATAGAAGAAAAGCTTAAACTTGCGAAAGAAAAGATTTCCGAGGATGATTTAGATTTAGATATTGTAGAAATAGATTTACCACCCATTAAAGCTAAAAAACGGGAGAAAGTTCTTGAAGCTATTCACAACATTTTCCAAATTGAAAGGATTGATGATAAACTGTTCATTAAAGTGAGCATTTTTGTCTTACGATTATATGACTTTTATTTTCTGATCTTTATACTATTCACTCAGTTTAATGGTGGAATGAAAGAAGACATACATCTCGCATTGAATGATTCGCTTCGTCAACAACTTCCAGGTTGGTGGGTGCGGAATGATGTGGCATCGGTTGTTAATCATAACGAATTTAGACCTGACGTAGGGGGATGGAACACGCAACCAACGCGCCAGCAAAGGATTGCACCTATTATTAATTCATCTCCACCTCCTTTATTATGGATCGAGGTAACAATTGTTTTCAGAAATGTGTTTTTTAACGATCTTTTTAATTTGTTGAATATTACAGGTGACATTCAACAAGACTAATGATCGTGATAACGCATTAAATAAGATTTCATATGTTCAACCATATTGTCTAAACACCGAATTTGTATTGATTTCTATTCCTTTTGTAACGTCACCCTTTCAAACAAATCCAAATCCTGGCGTTGACTCAGTTGTAGCTACGGCACCAAGGGCAAATCGTCCCTCAAGAGCGCCCTATCTTGGTCATTGGGCCGTAGGCGCGGGTTTTAATGCAGTGCAATGGTACAAAATGCAATGGAACGAACATATTATTCTTGGCTGTGGGGCGTGCATCTATTTTAATGATGTACTTACCTGTTTGTTATAAATATTTGATATTTCATTTCAATATTAATTAGTTTAGGTATCTTATTGTATAACCACCATGCTCAATATGAAATTTATGTTGCTATTAGCAAAAAAGAAAATTGGATTATGAAATTCAGAAATAAAATTTATATCGCTGAAAACAATTAAAGCCCAATTCGGGTGAAACTTCATTTCTATTTTTTGTTATCGAAACTACATAAAAAAATTGATAGGACCTGATCCAGTATACAGTAAATAAATATCTAACTACTGCATCATGTAGCATTTAAAAAAATAATTCATCATAACTAGCAAATAATGGAAATTTGGTTACCTACAGCGGATTCGAATAAATTAATATCTAATCTTGGACGTATCAAGAACAATAAAGGTGTGATTTTAAAGGAAATGTTTGCAAAAGAAGTGGTTATATACGGATTGACTTAAGCATTAATAGTATTCGTACATCAACTGGCGTCCATATCTTAATTGCACAAGCCTTCATCTCTAACCCAGAAAATAAGCCTTACGTTAACCACATTAACGGCATCAAACACGATAATCGGGCTGTTAATTTAGAATGGGTAACTCCTAAGGAGAATGCAGAACGTAAAATATTTCCGAATCGTGGTCATGGTAGTTCTAGGCGTATCGTGCAAAAAACATTAGATGGAAATGTTATTCGGATTTGGAATTCTATTCGCCTTGCTGGTAATACTCTTAAAGTTCTTGAAAATAAAATTTCGGAATGTTGTAACAGAAAACGAGATACTCTGGCGGTTGGTGCTGGACATATTATGAAAATTACATAGAACCAGATTCCAATGAAGAATGGAAAGAAATAGAGATTGATTCGCGAAAGTTTAGAGTTTCATCCTTAGGCAGAATTCAGCTTCCAAATGGCGTAATCACCCAGGGATCTTTGTATGCTGGCTATTACCGAATTGGTCATGTTCACAAATATCGTGTTCATCGTTTGGTGGCTTTAGCGTTCTGTCCAAAAGAAGAAGGCAAAGAATTTGTAAACCACATTGATGGCGATTCCACCAATAACAAAGCATCTAATCTCGAATGGTGTACACCAAAAGACAATTTACAACATGCAGTGCGTCTCAGGCCTCAGGATGGTTGGATGCGTCAACGTGCTGTCAAGCAGATTTTTGATGATGGGTCTTTTCGAGAATTTCCATCCTTAATTGAAGCACAACGCATAACTGGGATTGATCAATCAAGTATCTCGAAGGTTTGCGGAGGATATCGAACTTATACTGGCAGATATCATTGGGAATATGTAAATACATGATACAAATAAACAAGATACTAATTAAAGAGATGCATATTAATAATTTTATTTGTGAGTTGTATAATATAAAATATAAAACTTCCTGACCGCTGAGGTCAGGACATGTGACCCACGTGATTGGCGCAGTAGATTAATTTTTCGGTTTCAAAATGGTAAGTATAATATTATCAATATCCTCCTGCCTTAATTTGGAAATGGTCAAAGCACTGAAAGATTTGACTCTTTGAATTTTATCTTCTCCAATATTAATAAAGAGCGTATAAAGCTTTTGTGATCTTTCTACCTTCTTCCACAATGTAGTATCCGTAATATTGAGAATTTGCTCTCTAACTTCTTTATTAACTAGCAACAAAGAAGCATATGGGGGAATTGTTTTCTCATGATACTTAAGTCATTCTGATAGAGCTTTACCAAAGAGATAATAGTTGGTTATAACATCCCGATTAGTAATTTCATTTTGTATTTCTGAATTAGTTATATTATTATATAAATCATTAAAACTAATAGCATTTTCTTTTCTAATTACAGAAACTTGAGTTTCAGGTTCAGTAGATAATTTTTTTATAAGATCTTCTAATATGTCTGATTCCTTTTTAACCAGTTTCTTTACTTTTTTATTAGATGGTTTATTTGTAGGTTCTCTAACATGCTTTTTTTGTATTTCACCTTCAAATAATGGAGATGTATTTATTGATGAATTTAGCCCAAGATTATTGCCTAACATATCTGCAATAGATAAAGTTTTACTAGACTGGGATGATTCAGCAAACCTTTGTTCAAATATTACAGGATCAATAGTTTTTTCGCATTCAGTAATAAGACATTTGTTTTCTTTTGTAAGTAAAAAATTTTTTTCAATGCATTTTCTATGATATACATGACCGCATGGAAGTATTGTAAGTGATTTAAAGTTAACTGTTAAAATTTTTTTATTACATATTTTATATGCTGGCAATTCTGTAACATCAATATTTTGTACCACACTATGTTTTGTTTCTTTTAAAATATTAAGAGCGAGGTTTTGAAAATTAGCAAGTAACATGATAATATCAGCGAAGCAAGTATAGATAAGTTTTTACAATAAAATTCTTTATACTTAGCTTATTTATAATATATTCTTTATGACTAAAAAAAAATAATTTTAGATATTAATTTCGGATTTAGTGATCTATTCATTTATAAATTATTTAGTATGAGCCAAGGACCTATCAATCTACTGGCAATCATGAATGATTTACAAATTAGTAATATGTTAACCAGATGAAATAAAGCAATGATAATTCGATTTGAACAGAAAACCTAAAATCACTCAATCTACTGGCAATTCTTAAGTTTATTAGCATTTTGATAATACCGATTATGGGCACGTTTCATTAATGTGCCATCTGGTCAATAAAGCCATTTCCTCACTGTGCACTGGATTATTTTAGCTGAATTTATTCATTTTTTCCATAAACGATATGCTTGCTGGATGATAATTGCTGGTCGAGTTTTTATATACAAAGTTTTAAAATATGCTACTTGGGTTTTAAATTCTCTAAATTCAGAGTTATTGGCTATATAT